CTATGAATGTAGCAGGAGTCTGGCAAATCCTTTTCCCCTGGCCTGCGCCACAGGCTTTCGTGATGTGAGCCGTGATTAACAGAAAGTGTTTATTCCCCACTTGCTGGTGCGTGGGGATGTGGTGTCCTTACCAGGGATCCTGTGTTTTCTCTCCAAGTCGCTTAAGAGCCGGTTGTTCATTTGGTGTCTCAACACTGGGATGCGCTTTGCCCAGGCTTCAGGAAAGGTCTTCCTGTTTCTCTGGAACGTCCCATATCTGTGGTTTCTATGGATGCATTGTGTGCGCTTGTATTTATGAATCACTGTTATGACACGAGTGTTATGACTCACATATTTTGGCTTGCATGGTTTAAAAAAAATAGGAAGACTGATACACCATCTTCTAAATAGTTAGATGCCAAGTTTTATACCCTCTCTCCACCTCTCTAGCTGTCCTCGGACTGTGTTGATTTCTCAGCAGGATGACAGGGCGGTTCTGTTCTTTGTGGTATGTTGAATCTGAGATAACTTGGATGCAGAAAGAAAACCGTATGCTTTGGCTGCTTTGGGTCATGCAGCAGTTTTTCCCATTTTGTAATAGCAATAAAGGTGAAATTGCAAAGTAGGAGAGACCTTTGCCTAGAGATTGGGCTTGAAATTACGTTTTCCAAGGTGGAAACCAGTCTGTCTTTCTCTCCTGATTTCACTTGTCTCACTCCAAAGGCAAGAGATGGTTTTTATTGAGGTTTGTTAATTTAATGTTACCTGCTATGTTAGTTTGAAGTCCCTGTCACGTTGGTTAGAACATGAAAATGTGCTTATTATGGGAGTGACCCTTAGCCACATACCAAGGGTGGTATTTGATTGCCATGTTTTCATGAATGGGTGTTTGAAAGTCATTTTCAATACAGATACGTGACATTGTGTAGAAAATGGACACAACGTGGACTCAATTCTCTCTCATATCACTCAAAGTGTAATTTAACAATGATTATTTCTAAACTGGATTTTAACGTGACTGGGTCCAGTTTAGTTTCATTTGTACAGACCAGATCAAACCAGGTTATCATCCACTTCAGGCAAATCTCTTATTAAATCAGTAGTATTGGCTGACTGGATAGGATCACGATAATTCATCTAGAGCTAGAGGGAAGTTCAAAGCTGTGAAGAAATTGACTGTTGGGGCTCATCTGATAACAGGCAAAGGACTTGCAAATGACATTTGTAATAGCTGATTTTCAGCAATTTCTGCAGAACTGGATAGGAGACTTGAAATAGGAATTAGGCTGTCAGCTATAGGTAACCCTGTTATCAAGATAGCATTAAAAAGGGCAAATGTATGTGGAAGGTACAATATACAAACAAAACTAATAAGTTTTGGATTTGCAGTGGAACCTGTGAAATCATGTCTTAAAAAGACACTGTTGAACTTCATTTATTCTTTATAAATCAAGTAGACTATTCTTAGCACACCTTTTGTGAAAATTTGGAAGGAAAAGCTCATTTTGTTTCTCTGTTGGTCAGTATTCTGCACACAGTGATATCCCCTGCCATTACTATTTCTGAAGTAATACAGAACGTGGTTTGTACGATTAAAATCTGAAGGACAGGTCTCCTATGTAAGTGTTCTTGAAAAACAGATATTTTCCAGGTTATGCCCCTTTAAAATATTACTACACCTGCATAGCAGTGATTTGGCCGTTGTTTAGGTCAAACTAAACTAATTAACATGCTTTGCTGATGTGTCAAATTGTTAAAACAAAATGCAGGTTTATGATTTTTTTCAGAATAGCGGATGTTGCAGAAGGAGAGAGGCAGACTGGAAGGCGGGATGAGCATTGCGGAAGAGGGCGATGCACATGGGCGTCCATGCTGTGGGAAGGGCAGCAGAGGGAACTGGGCTGCTGCTGGTTCAGGTTGACCTCATGGCTGGTCAGGTGGCACCAAGTTTGGGGTCAACCACAGCGTTTGTTGTCGTGTGCCTGGCGAGTTTTTGGGATGCAGGGGAGGGAGCTGCAGGTAATGCGTACACAGGTGCTTGGGGGAGCTTTATAGGATGTATAATGGATAAAGCAAGATTGACAGTATAGTTTCTTTTTATTTTGAGAGTCTAGGGAATGTATATCAGGTTTTCTTAGGAGGCTTTGATGGGCTTGCAGAAAAACTGTAAGAACTGTAAGTGTGTTTTTGCCAAAAAAAAAGAGGAGGAAAAAAAAATTCAAGGTCATTATGTTTGTGTATGTGAATTGTCTTTTAGTGCAGACATCTGAAGGAAGGGAGAAATGTAGAAAATGTAACATATACACACGGAGCATCTGTAAACAGTGCAGCCTTTATATAGGGTTTTTCCATAGCGCCGTACTTTGCACTGGTATCCTTGTAACTAGAGTGGTACTCCAGCCGAATTACAGGATCTTCAGCGGAAAGGTCGTGGCTGTGATTTTCATATAAAGGAGAAATGCTGAGAAGAGCTGTAAGGTAATTAGGAAGCTGGAAGATTCCCCTGAAGGGAATGTTTCTGTATTGAATGGCTCATTTCACCTAGAATTAAAATGGCAAAAACGTTCCCAAACATTTGGATGTAAACATGACGTAAGGAGAGAATTTACACTTGGTATGAAAACACTGCGTTATAACTTCCAATGAAGAGGATTCACGTAAAGGAAACGTAACGTCATGTGTGAGGAAGAGCTGGGTTAAAGAGGTGACTGACTTGTAGAGAAGCGGTTTCTGTGGCGTAGCATCCAGTTGTTTTGGAAGCTTACCCAAGGAGGCTGAGCAAAACACAGTTACTTTAGTCAGTCTTTGAATGAGGAGTTACTGGGTGGGCTGTTGAAAGGGTAAAACTTCCGTCTTGTCTGGCAATATTCAGTATATTGCAAAGTATATGTAAAAAACTTTCACATTTCCATTTAATAGCTGGGCCTCACCGGATAGGGCATCATGTGTTTTTTGGGAACGGCAAACGTCGAACTGGCAATATTTGCTTTCCAACCCTTGTTTTTAGTGATTGAAATTATGCTATAATGCTGGTTTTTCCTCTTCCTATTACTTCTGACATCATTTTAGACCTATTGGTACAAGAACTGATATGATACCTGTTGTGGAGGTCTCTTTATTTTTTTATTATTATTTTTTTAAACCAAGCTTTACCAAAAGCATTGGTGGCATGTTCACATGTTTCGTTATCAGAAATGAGTTGTGGCAAATACCACTATTAACCAGAGCCACTCCTGGCTCTGTCTTGGTTTGTTTCACAGTTTTAGAATCATTGCTGCGTGTAATTTAACAGCTTGCTGCGAAATCCTGGTGCTTGTGAGAATACTTTGCCTACTGATCTTGGATGTGCTGGTGCTAGCACCTAAACAATACTGCTGGATTACCAGTGAAGCTGAAGTGGTAAATACTCTTGTTTTTTTAAAGGATAGATGTTGGACTATGGTTTGGATATTGAATATTAACTATGTGAAGAAATGTTTGAGCTGGCTTAAGTATAAGGCCAGCTGAAATAGGAGCTCTTGGTTTTATGATGAGGTCCCTGCCTTCAGAAAACACTGTCGAGTAGAAAAATAATCTTAACTATTCACCATTGGGTGGCATTTTTATGGAAGATCCAGCAAATACTGTGGAAGAAGCTTGCATAACCTTATGTTTTTAGCATCGCTCATGCCCTGTTTTTCCTTCTTGGGAAAGTCAGGTCTATCATCTGTTTTTATGCTTGCCTTTTCCACCCGCCCCCCCTTCTTTTTATCTGCTTTGGTTCTGCAGCTGTGGTTTGATGTTGCGTCGTGTCCAGTGGGAATCTCACACTGTTTTTGCCATGGGGCAGTGCCTTTGTCAGTTCTGCTCGTGATGCCATGTTGTGAACTGCATCAGAGTTGAGCAACTGCAGAGAAAACTTACTTTGCTGCATAATTTTTTAGGCAGATCAGTTCTCCTCTCTGGTTTGCTGCACAGCTGGCAGCTGGGTCTCGTGGTGTAATGTCTCACATCAGTGTAGCTGCTGCTTTGGAAAAGAGAATGAAGAGGAGCCCTTTCTATCCCCTTAGCCATCAGGGAGCACCAGCTGGAGCCCAACTTCAGGCCTTGCTCTGCAAGAACCATGGGGGCTAATTCGGAAGCGTGCAGAGTAGCACACAGCAATGAGCAGAGGGCTCGAGAACAGGACCTGTGATGGAAAAGTGAGCTTGCTGGGGTTCTTCAGGTTATGAAAGAGTCAACTCACACAGGACCCCCATAATCTTTTCTTCATGTCCACGGTGGACAGGGCAAGAAGGACATGGAGCTGCTGAAGAGGGACCAGAGGAGGGCCATGAAGGTGATCCAAGGGCTGGAGCACCTCTGCTATGAAGACAGGCTGAGAGAGTTGGGGCTGTTCAGCCTGGAGAAGAGGAGGCTCCAGGGGGATCTTATAGCAGGCTTCCAGTGCCTAAAGGGGCCTACAAGAAAGCTGGAGAGGGACTTTTTATAAGGACATGTAGTGATAGGACATGGGGCAATGGATTTAAACTGAAAAAGGGGAGATTTAGATTAGATATAAGGAAAAAATTTTTCACTCAGAGGGTGGTGAGGCACTGGAACAGGCTGCCCAGAGAAGTTGTAGGTGCCCCATCCCTGGAAGTGTTCAAGGCCAGGTTGGATGAGGCTTTGAGCAACCTGGTGTAGTGGAGGGTGTCCCTGCCCATGGCAGGGGGTTTGGAACTAGATGATCTTTGAGGTCCCTTCCAACCCAAACCATTCTGTGAATCTATGATTCTAATTTAGAGCCAACTCTTCACAGACCTGCAACAAGTTCTGTACCAGTAGTCTCGCAATAGAGTGGATGTTCAAACTCACCACTTTAAGAACGGTGTCTCTATATCAAATATGTAAACATACGAGGTGACGGGGTAATTGTCAACACTGTACTTACTCTTGATTGTAGTAAAGCTTCTAAATGCTTTCAAAATGATGTGTAAGCAGCTGCTTAAGGAACAACCTGCTGTGGCACATTGTAAGGAGTTCTTGTTCTGTGGCTAGGAGCCTTTTGTGGCAGATGAATACATTGAACGCCTGGCATGGAGAACACCTGGAGGAGGTTCCAGAGGTGGAGAAGCTTTTGATCCAAAAAGGTAAAATAAAATTGCATAATGGTCCAAGTGAATTTATCTCTAATTGTACTGTTTTATTACATATGTAACAAAAAGCCTGTGTGTAGTGTTCGTGTGTGTCCAAGGAGGTTTCATTTGGGAGAATTGCTAGAATTTGTGACCATGAGCCAATTATTCAGAACCAATTATTCAGTAACAAGAGTAGGGAGAGTCACTTTCTGATTTAGACCTTTTGAATGAGGGAGAGTTGATGCTGTTTGTCCTTGTCAGACATGAGTGTTCCAAAGCACTAGAGCTGCTGGATTAAAACATAACACGAGGCTTCACTGTTATGATAGTTGAATCAATTTAATGAGTTTCTTGCTAATTTAGCTCCCTGAGCTGGCTTGTTGTGAGACCCAGTAGTTTACAGTCCTGATGCAAATAAAAGGCACAAACAGGTGGGAAGAGAAGAAAATCAGGAGCATGGCAATGTGGACTTAGATTGTTTTAAGCTGAATTTGTGTGGATTTGTATCGTTTGGATCAAATGAACAGCTTGCTGCTGTTCAACGGAGATGGGCTTGTGCCCTTCTTCCTTGCTGTTAGCTGCACGCCATGATGGTTCATTTGGAGCTGGCTGTAGGCGTGTGGTCTTATCATAAGCTAATCTAACTTACTAACAAGTCAGAAAACTAACCTGACAAGAAAAAAGAAAAAGAACTTTTTTTTTTCCCTAGTTGGGTTAGCAGTTTTAGGGGACTGGAAAAGCTTGGGAGCAGTTGCAAAGGGAACAGGTTGTGTGTCTCTGAGCTGGTGGTGGGGAGGAACGTGGGTGTGGAAAGGATTAAGGCTAGGGTAGGGGAAGTGGTAAAGGAGAAGGTAGTGCAGGACCTTCTCTTGTTTGTGGTGAGCTGGCTTGGCTCTGTTGAGAAACCTCACCCTAAAAAGCCAGCGCTCTGGTTACTGGGCTGGCGCTGGGTGGTGCGTTGGTAACTCAGATGCACAGTTTTATACGGCAACATTCAAAGTCTAAGCTTCTGTACTC